TAGTGTTACACCTCTGCATATTATAAAACAGAACCAGCTGCTTGCTGCTCCTCCTCTTTCCACTATATGCAGCCTTTTGGCATGGCAGTATTGTTAGAGCCAAAGGTTTAAAGATAAAGATTTTTAGGTAGGTGTAGTAGCTTTTATGGAGACAGCTAATATAGCTGGAGAAAGCAGATAAGGTTTGGGGCACGCAAACTCCTTGGGAAAGACACAGTGAATTTCAAACCTAACTGCACATGGGGAACAATTATTCTGGGTTTAATTAGACCTATGTCTGAGCTAGATATCTGACAGCACCTGTGGAATTGAAAGAGGATATTGGTGGTTGTCTCCTGAGGGAAAAAGAAAGGCAGGTAATTTGTAGAAAAGTAGCAGCACAATGTAGAGCGCCGAGAGATTAGTGGGAATGGTGAAAAGAACAGGATGGTAACATGCTCTAATACGTTAGTACTCAGAAAAGTCATGAGATGGAGTTCTCAGCTTTACCAAGGGAGAGTTCTGTAACTTTGAGAATCGGGGCTGGGAGATCAGAGGTGGAGTGACTACACTGTAAGACACGTTGCCTGTTGGAAGTGCTTCGTCCCAGCTGAATTGTATGAATTGAAGATTGTATCTTTTGACAGGCTGAGAAAAAACCGTTCTTTTGTCTTTGCGAAGTTGTGCCTATTGAATTTAAACTCCCAAGCATTTGGCAGATCTTCACTGTCAGCTACGCCAAGAATTCCTCCCTGTGAAGAGTTTTTAATGTGACTGCAACTAAAACTGCTCAGCTGCTAATTGAGGGGTGTGCGGCAGTCAAAATAGGATGACGCCTCAGCTGCCTGCATCATGCCTCATTTCACTCACTGTTGGGATTTGGATGCTGGTGGGGGTCCGTGCCTTTTCTGTGTGCCTAAAGCCAGCCAAAGGGTTCCAAGTCCACCTCTGGGCAATGCTTCCTCCTTAGGACAGCAGGGATACAGGAAGTGTCAAAAGGAGCAAGCCTGAGGTCCATGTTCCAGGAAGTATTAGCCTGTTGGGCTGTGCCCGTCTCCCAGTGCTAGTGGAGGTCACCACCAACTTGTGGCCAGGCAGCTCCTTCCACCCACAGTTTTCCAGGACCTTAATGAGCAGGATTCAACACATGGGAATGGGACAGAAACTTCACTGGTTGCCTCAGCTGATGGTGAGACATCATTTCATCCCAGGAGTGCGAAAGGCAAAGTGCATCTCTCTGTGTCCTTCAACAGAGCAGGCCATGATGTTCCTGCAGGCCAGTGCAGCCTCATAGAGGGAGAAGGCTGGTCCTGTGGGGTGGACAGGCTCCATGCTCACATTTCTGCTCAGCCTGGCATTGCTGCAGCACTTACCTGTCTGCGGCATGAGATCTTCACTCCCGCCTTGCCTGGGGGTACAGCATCTCCAGAGCAGGTCTGAGGGGGCTGCTCCTTAAGCTCCAACCAGTGTCTTCTCACCATCTGTGCAGCAGGTGTCATTGCCAAGCCCTCTTCTGGTTCCTGCAGAGCATCAGCACTGTGCAGAAACCTCTCTAAGAGCATCACCCATAACCCACAGCATGGCAGCAGTGGTCTTGTGCTAGCTTCTGCCCTCACAGGCTCAACCTGTTACCTGTGTCCCTCTCCCAGTTGAGGCCTTGGTTGCATAAGGGTGATGGAAAGAACATTCTGGACCAGGGGCACCTGCAAGTGTCAGGACCTGGTCACGTGTCTGTCAGCTCTGCAGGAAGATGTCATTTTTGGGGTGGGCTCCCTACCTGTGCACAGCATGATAGCGACAAGAGGAACTGCATGAAGCCTTTGTCAATGGCCTTGGTTTCTCTGCTCTTGGAAACTTTATTTTTGCAGACGATAATTCATACATTACAGAATTCAGGTGTTGCATTCAGTACATGACTGTGAGTGCATCTTCTCGCTGTGCTTGTTTTCCTCTCTTGCACTGGGTTTGAAGAGGCAATTAAAACGTGGTGGTTTTGTAGCAGGCAGTCCAGAGGTGAACAGTACCTGATCTGTGTGACCCCATTTCTCCTGTGGCAGCAGCCCAGGTCTCCCATAGTAGCCACAAAGATGAAGTTTGGGAAGCACTGACTCTGTTATTTCCTCAGAAAATCCCATGATGTCCTCGAGGCAGCAGCAGAGCCCAGCTGATGGGCTGAGGATGCTCTCAGGTGTGCCCACCGGGAAGTTGAAGCCATGTGATATGGGTGCTGAGGAGCTGTGCATTAACAGGGTCCCTGGGACCTCAAGCCATGGCTCCAGCTGGAAAGCCACCTATGGTAATTTTGAATTACCTGGCTTCCCTCTGACAGCAAGTTGTGAAGATTCAGCCACAGTGGCCAAACTCCCAGTTTCTCAGCTCTGGGCCCCTCACTACAAGAGAGACACTGAGATGCTGGAGTGGGTCCAGAGAAGGGCAATGGAGCTGGTGAAGGGTCTGGAGCACAGGTTTGATGGGGGGTGGCAGAGGGGACTGGTTGGTTGGTCTGGAGAAGAGGATACTCAGGGGAGACCTTATCACTCTCTACAACTGCCTGAAAGAAGGATTGAGTGAGGTGGGGTCAGTCTTTTCTCGCAAGTAACAAGTGATAGAACAGCCTCAAGCTGCACCAGGGGAGGTTTAGATTGGATATTAGCAAAAATTTCATCACCCAGTGGGTGCTCAGGCATTGGAACAGGCCGCCGAGGGCAGTGGTGGAATCACTGTCCCCGGAAGTGTTCAAAAACCGTGTAGATGAGGTCCTCAGTAACACGGTTTGGTGTTGGACTTGCCAGTCCTGGGGTAACAGCTGGACTTGATCTTAAAGGTCTTTTCCAACCTAGGTGGTTCTGTGATTCCTCATTCCTGGCCCTTTGCCTCTGTGAGCAGATGTGGAAGGGCGCAAGGCAAGCAGGCAGTAGGAGAGCAGCTGGGGTAACACAAAGCGTTTCATGGGTGCTGTTTTTCACCTCAGACCCACTATTTGTATTCTGCCCTTGTGTTTATAAAGGCTGAGCCTCACCTGGGTCACAGAAGATGGAAGTTACCTTGGAAACACAGGCAGCTCTTGATGGTTTCTAGACAGATTCCTCCAGGCTGTGGGCTTTGTGCACACCAGCTGCCGGCCGGCCTCCTATTCCTGAAGTTCCATTGTGCTTCTGAAACCATCAGCTTTGACTTACCACCTCCAGGTGCTCTGGGGCAAACCCCAGGCAGCAGAAAGGATCATTAGTCTTCCATGGCCTCAGTGTATAAATGCTCTCCAGGCCTTCTGTATTTTAGCATGGTCAGATCAGCCTGTGGATGGTGGAGTGGACCCAGTCCAGTGCAGTCCCTGTCCCTGAGTGCAGGTGAGATGGGGACAGCCTGCCTTCTGTTGCTGCAGGCTGTGAGAAGGGACCGCCTTGTTCTCCCATAGCTTAGCATGTGGTCACACTAAATGTGACTCATCTGAGCCACGATGGGGAGAGCTGCGGCGGCTCTTCCAGGGCTCACACAACTTCAGATATAGCAAAAAGTATTTGTTGACATACAGCAAGTGTTGTGTAGCAGCTCAGGCACTGGCAATCATGAGGAGCGAGGCTCCTTGAAAGAAACAGGAATGGACAGAGAGAAGATGTAATTTGCCCTGAGGCTGGGCAGTTGTCTAACTCATGGTCAGGTGTTAGCACAAGTGGCTACAACCCTATGAAGTGAAGGAAGTGACGGCAATGTTAAATACCTGAGAACCTGGGCTAGATACCTTTTTCTTTTTTTCTCCCTCTGAAGTCTGCCCATGAGACTTGCTTTTGAATATTTATGTTTAAATGGCTTATTTGGAAGAAGTCACAGCTGCAGCTGTTCCTGCTGAAGTGACAGCCTGTGCTGCTGTCTCCTAGAGACCTGCAGTTCCCACTCCCTGAGAGTGGCTTTCAAAATAAGGCTTGATTTGCCACGCAGATGCAAAACGCGTATAATTTCAATGAGATTTGTCACTGGTTTAAAGACCAGCATAAGAAAACAGATGATTGGAACAAGGAACAAAGGTGGGATGTTAGAAAATGGGCTTTGCTTATTGCCATGATGGCCACTGTGAAGTGGCTGCTGTGAAAAGACTAGCTCTGTGTTCATGTTGTGACTGAAAACAACAGAAATGCCACATGTAGGGGAGTTACAGTTGAGGGTCACCGCTATCTCATTCAGGTGCCAGAGAGGGAAGCATGAGGAAGATGCGCTTCACAGGCGCACAACGGCACCCCCCACTAGCGCTCCTCACTGACTTCAGCTAACAAGACACCACCTTCATTAGTGAGTGAGCACGAGAGAAAAATCCAGAGCTGGTGGCTGGCAGACACCACATAACATTAGGATTCTTTTTCCCCAGCCTATAAACTGCTGCACACTGTTCGTAAGGTCAGAAAATCACATGCATGAAGTTGAGAGTTAGGCAACTGCACAATTAGAAACTATACGCACTGTAAACAGGTGAGGCAGCTGAAAGATGCACATAAAGGTCTCTCACATTCTGATTTTTAATACCAAATTACTCTTAAATCAATGTAAAATTTATAATTGGAAAGAAATAACAAAGTTTACATTTCAGAAACTAAACAAGCCCTCAAAAGCACAAGCAGCCCTGGACTCCTGGAGCATTTTGAAGCTTCTTTCATGCAGAAAACCTCCGTTCCTACTGGAGAGAAACATGTTAATGTTTCACCTCAATGTTTCTTTTGAGAAGGCTATTTTGACAATGCCCCTTTTGTGCTATCACCATGACACTACCAAAGCCTTAAATAAAATGCATTTGTATTGCTGTTTATTATTTGATAAACACTTCATCCAGGAAAGCCAACACACAGAGCACATCCGCTGCCTGCAAGAGCGGAAGCGAAGAGTAACTCTCCATAGATACATGTTTAAACGAGAACAGCAGAGACTTTCCTCAGGTGACAGTATTGCAATACCATATTCCAACAACATTTTCCAGCTCAAACATCATGGCAGTGCAGTATTTTGTCCTGAAGATACATACAAAGAAATCAGTAAGTTCTCTTCATATAGCTTTATTGCTTTTAATTGTTCCTTTGTAAAAGCAGACTCAACAGGGTTAAATTTTTGTTATTAACATAGAATATTCCTTAAAAATAAACACCCAGTTTATGATACACCTACCACAGAAGCCTTTTTATTGAATTCACTATGAATTCCACACATATTTAACTTTTCAGAAGGAAGGGACCATAACTCTTGCGCAGAAATTTTTACCATCGGTATTAACAGAGGACATCTGTACCAGCAGAAAACAAAGGAAGTGCTTTAAAATCTAGGCTGATGGCCTTCTCGCATGCAGGAAAACCTCCCTGAGGAAACAGTTTCCGGATATGCATGGAGTCGATACACTGTGACACACGCTGGCAGTGCAGCATAGCAATAGAACCCGTTAAATCTGCACTGGGAGCCGGTTACCAGCAATGCGACAGAGTAATTATGGGGAGGAATTTCTTTGAGGTAAATTCTGGTTTTTCAAATGAGATTCTGAAGAATCGCCCACTAACATTTCTGCAGAAACTGTTTACAGCTTGTCCAAATTGTAGAGGACAACCCATCTTTTCCCACAAAAGCTTACAGAGCTTGTAGTTTACTGAGTTACTGCTTGTTCTAATGACTGTTGGAGGGAATGGTTTGGCGTCAGTAAAAAGATTAGTTTATGTATTAATGCAATTCAATAGTTCACTCAATTTACACAACATAATGAAAAGCTTAATCTTAACTCTCAAGAATTCCATCTTCCCCCTATCTCAAGTTCATAACAGGGATTTCATTGAGTCTTTGAGAGGCTGCTTCAGAGTGGAGAAAAAAGATGAAGCAGATGAGAGAACACAAATTCCCAGCTCACATCAAGGCTTCACTAATTAGGACCACACATCCCACATGGAGGTGTAACCTACCGCCACACAGCTGTGAAGGATCTGCCTGCACTCCTGTTACTACAGCTCCCCTTTCCAGCAACACCACAGAGCCTCCACTCCATCACATCCTTGGAGGGGGCAGCAGACCATGATGGGGTCAGAAAGGGTAGCAAGCAGACAGCAGGGATGCAGCTGGAGGGCAAGGCCTGGCCATCTGCCACATGTGATGACCAGTCCTCAGTCTGGAGGGGGAGAGACTAAAGAACAAAAATGGAAACACAGCATGTAACAGCAATAAAATCTTAATACAAACAGCCCTCATTCCTGCTACAGACGTGTCTGAATGAGGGATGCACAATGTCTGAACTGCACAACGTGCTCATGAGAGCAGCTCTTTCAGCATAAGGCAATGCTTGATAGTTGGTTTCTCAAGGCAGTAGGGTATCCAAAAGTGTATAAGGATCATTTTTGTCAACCATGGAGATTTAGCCAATCACGTGATGCTCACCCTGTCATTGCTTTAGTTGCCTAAAAAACTCCCAAATATTCCTAATACTGCCTTTCCAATTTAGGAATCTACATTTGCTGAATTGCTAGACATGTTATTTATTAACCCCCAGCTGCAGAGGAGCTCCCAAAAAGGGGAAGGCAACAACCCACAAGTTAAAAAAACTTAGCAAGGCCTTGCTTGCTGGGCTAAAAAAGCATGGGGCACTAAGAGAAGCCTGTTTTATGGGAGGAAAACTAAAAGGTGCTTGTTTAAACCTTCCTCTCACCTCAAAGAGAAAAGACTCAGGAACTCAAAGTTGATTAAAACCAAACCTAGTACAAAGCCAGTCCCACTTCTTCCTGAAGGTAGCAGATTTTTCAGATGGCAAAATGAATTGTCTATTTAAAAAAAGCAGAACCTAAATATATTTTATGTAATCATTGATTTGCAAGACTGAACATTCTCAAAAGACTTTGCAGCACATGGAGCCTGTGCCTTGGGCTCATGCACATGGGCAATAAAATAAGACCAACTTTTTAGCCACTTATTTCTGGGGCTTGTGGGGCCACTGCTCCATTAACACAAACCAACCCAGACACTATCTGCCATGGTAGCCTTTTTACAGTAAATCTCATGGTATTTAACACACAAAATATGTCACATTTCTGAACAAGTTGCCAGCATCTCTCATATAAGATTACTTTCATACACAGATACTCTCAGTAACTCCTCAGAATGGATCCCAAACATTACTCAAGAGAAAAAGGATGTAAGTGCAAGTCTAATTTTAAATATGTAACACAACTCTCCCTTCAGCTTCGTCACATACACACAGGAGCTAAAGGAATCTAAGAATCAAATGTAGAGCTCCATAACATAATACCTATTTAAGTATTTTTATGCTAGCAAAAAATATCTCAATGTTTTAAAGTAGCAAATTTACATTACCTTTTTTATACCAGGATTATCCTTTACCAGTTTAGCTTTAGTAGAGATGATCCTCCCTAACAGAATATTTACAGACAAGGAAAAATAATTAAACATCAGGATATTTATTTTGCATAGAAATATTTACAGGAAAATACTTAAAAAATTAAGTATTCAGACTTTCACTGACTTCAAAAAAACTTCATGCTTATATGTTATAAAAACATATTGCCTTTACTGTGCTCAAATTTACTATTCAGATCTCTGGATTTTCTTATAAGAGCTTTCTTTTGTGCTTCATCAAATCGATGGACTTTGAGATCCTGGTCCCGGTCAAAAGGCCTTCTTTCCTGAGGTTTGTTCTTTTCTTCAGATGCCTTGCTCTTTAGCTTTTTCTGATGTATGTCCATCAGAGATTCCGACCTCTTTGACTCCTGGAAAAATGGGAAGAAGGAAGAGGAAGTTAGTATTACAAGCATCAACAAGGGAGAGAAAATCCAAGTAGAAAGGTTGGAATTAGGAAGGCTGAAAATTCCAGAAAAAACATGACAGCTTAGGAAGTGTAAAAGAGAATGATACATATGCCATACACAACAGAGCAGAAAGCACGTATAATCTTCTCTACACTGAATAAAATACAAATAATCCACTGACGTTAAAGATACCCATAAGGATGTTGAATTTCTGCAAACGGTGGAGATTAATTATAAAAATAATGCAAAAGAAATACAAAAGTTGCTCTGCCATTCTTAGAGTCAAATACAGACAACATGTCAAGAGCACAGGCTCAGTTTCTGATACACTTCCCCAAGCATCTGCATTTGGTCACTGCTAAGGGCAGCAACAAGCTAGATACCCTTTCGATCTTACTCTCATGTGTTATGATGTTTTAAGGTGTGCTCTCTTTAGTATTTGAATTGCCTGTTGCAAGCCTAAGGACAGTCACAGGTTTGAGCTAGAGCACATTTTGCCACATCATATACTTTGGTTCCATTTATTAAACACGCAATCCAGCTCAAATATTACATAAAACTTTTGCTGATTTCACACAGGAGCAGGATAGTTCTCACAAGGCTACGCATCCCCTCCTTTACCTACGTGTATTTGTGTATCTCACAGCAGTCAATTTCTCAGACTCTCAAATCATTACAGACCATCCAAAAGATAAGTCTGAACCAACTCTCTCATCAGAATGAGCAAAGGGTGAGCAGCTCTGTTTCCTCATGTCTAGGAACAAGACATCTTTATTCCAGAGGTTCACTTTCCCTCACTCCCTGTGCAAACACTTCGTCCCACATACAAATAATAATTCATACATAGCATAAGAAATGAAAACAGAAAATGGGTAATATTTATTCATGGTGTAACTGCATCAGTGCTGACAGCATTGCACTAGAGAATGTATATGGCAGCAGCATTAAAGAACTAACTGTAAGAAACCAGCTTAAGAACTAAAGCTCCTGAAAAGAACTATATTCAGAATGATAGTGGAAACAGACAATACAGAAGGAATTTAAGGCAGTATGCTAATAACTCTGGATTTGCCAGCCTCTAAATCAAGAGGCACATGTGATTTAATGTATGACAATTAAAAGTGCCAGATAAACTTAAATCATGTAATATAAGCCAAGGCTGTGATTCTCAAGAATTATACTCTCAAGAGACCAGACTGACTTGCTGAAGGCATCAGGCCTTAAATCAAGCATGAACAGGAATGAACAGGTGTAAGGCACCAGTCCATATTCTCTGGTGAACAGGGCTGGCAGACAGAGAAGTGGGAGGGAAGTTGACATGGAGTTCAGATTTCTAGTAACCAACATCAGCCTGTGAAAATGGTCTCCTTCTCCAGAGACTGAGGAAAACTTCAAATAATAATGTTGTTGTAATGAGCAGTTAATGTAATTAAGAAGTATAATTAATGCATTGACCTGCTTAGCCTATCAAGCTTCTTTTGGGTTAATGCATATTTTGTCCTGTAAGTTAAACTTTTACTACTGTTTTATTCCTGGAAAGCTGGTAACTTGGTGAAGCAAGCTAATATCTGAATGAAGGTTGTCTACTGCCAGCAACCATGTCCTGATGTGAAGATGATTTAAGGAAAACCCACCTAAAACCAGCCCATACACACAAACTCCAACTCTGTAACACTGTTTTCAGCAGCCGTCAGCTGACCCGATCCTGCTCTTCTTGAATTCAGTGGCAAATGTTCTAATGACTTAAGCAGCATTAGGTTTGGGCACTAAAAGGGAAGACTGTACTAGCATCATCATGGAAACCAGCAGTGCTAGGAATGAGAACCAGAATAAAAGTGTGAAAAATTAAAAGAAATGCAGGAAAAGGAAGTATTTTGCTATCACACTTACATTGTATGAAGCCACCTGCTCAACAAGTCTCTTATCTCTCCCAGATAACACGATTTCTTCATCATCCTTACTGGTTGACTTTTTTGCCTCTTCTCTTTCCTGATGAGTAGAAGCAATCACATGCTACAGTAATGTCCGAAGGAAAAAAGTGAGGAAATCTATATTTACTTTAATTAAATCTGAAGGATAGAGGCCACCAGCTATTTTTCGCTCAGCTTGATAAAAGAAGAACACCACACTGTAACTGGAAATTGAATGAGCTGATACAGAGTACCTGACTACTACAGAAGGATGAAGGAATAATGAGTGTCAATGCTACTTAAAATCGTTATTTCCTTGCCCTTACCTTTAAGCCCCAATTAGTAAGTTTTGGAAACAAAGGATAAACTCAAACCAAACAAATTTAATTGACCAGTTCAGGGAATCTTTGCTTTCACAGAATATCAACAGCATCCACACTGCCCACAGGTGTACGTGGATGAGTAAATGCTCACCTTGGCTTTTCTCTCTCTGTCAGCTGGAGTATCTGTCCAAATAGATCTATCTCCCGATTTGTCATCAGCTCTTCTCTTGAATGTTCTTGGGCCAAATCCAAAGCTTTTCAATTCAGGTGGAAGCTCTGTCATCCATGATTCCCTGGTAATTTGCTTGGGTTCATCCTTTATAAAAGAAACAGGTGCAGAGGAAGAGTAAAAAGAGCATAATAAAGAATTGCTGTCTGAATCTCTTGGCTTCCAGCAGAAATAATGAATTTTTCTTGAAACATTTAGTGTCCCGAGCAGAACTGCAACTGTGTTCACACAGAAACAGGCAAAGAAAAAAATATGCTCCAGCAACAAAATACTAGAAATTAAGAAATGCAACTTACGCTGTCTGCTGAAGTAAGTTTTTCCTTCATTCTCTGAGCTCTGCGTTCAAATTCTTTAGTGACATCAGACTCCACTGGTCCTTTTGCAGGCATTGGGCCTATAATATCTTCTTCTTCCTCACTACTATCTGTTACCTTCCAAAAATAAAACATCTCTCTCACCCAGAGCTCTAAGACCATCAAGAAACACTTCAGCTTCACAGGATTAGAATGATTTTATAAACCTAATGCAATCCACCTGCCAGGCAACTAAAACCTGGATTAAAACTCCCCATTAGACCTGTTCTAGTACTTTAACGTGGATACTTAGCGTCCATGGTTCCAAAAGCATCATCTCTTCTGAAGCAAAACAGCTGGTTAACACGGTGGCAAAGTCCTGCTACTTCATGTTCTCTGCATGCAGCCATGTAGCCCCTGTGGCCCCAGGTAAAGTTGCAACACACAAACTTACATGTTTGATACTTTGCGCTTCACCATCACTAGCAACATTTGGATGAATCTCTGGAATAAGGATCACAGCTGTCTCGAGTTTAGACTCCGTAAGGGTGCTAGGAAGAGTTGCATGCAAGCTAGGGCACAGTAACATGCATGGTACTACACCCCTGGGTGTATAGTAATCTGCCAGTCTCACCTATTGGTTCTGTTATGCTCTTCTTCAAACCCTTTCAACATCACATTCCAAGCAATTATTTGGAGAATGGCTCCAAAAACCCAAACTTTGAAAGGCACTAGGTGTTAATAAGACCCTTTATGGATGCCAGAGGTTGTACTGAAAGCTCACACGTCCCTCCAAGTTAAAACAGGACAGATGTGGACAGAGGCAGAACTAGACATGAAATAATGACACCACAGTGCTTTGGAAGCAAAGCTGAGGTGCCCCGCATCTACAAAAGTGAAAAGACTCAGCTACGGCCTGAATGTGTGTGATAAAGCAACAGGAGTAGGATGAGGACAACGCTGTACAGTCAGGAAGCAGAGAGCATTGCTCCAGAATATAAGGTGGTGGTAAATGAGTTTCAAATGAAAGATGGCTGGGGGGAATGGCTTGCTTTTGTCATGCCAAACTTCAGTTACCTGGTGGGCATCTTAAAATCAAGACTGGACATTATCAGAGAATGTTGCAGCTCAAGAGTGATGAGCAGTGGGAAACCAGTATCAGTATCCCTCCATATAAAATAAGGCTCATGAGGCAGAGGTGACCCAGTGGAGGATACAATAATGGAGTACAGAACCTCACTGGAGAGTTACCTAATAGGAGCATGGGGAATGGAGGTCAGGTGAACAGAGGAGGAGAGAAGGAAAGTTATCCGTATACTGAGTTCAAGCCTAATGCTTCAGGCTGCTCATAGCTGGCATTTCTCTGCTGTAGAGGGATTTGTGCTAAGGAAGACAGGAGATGTGAAATTAGCCACTTCACTCTTGTGTGCCATTTGCAACAGAAACACTGCTCCAAGCTGGTGAAGCCAGTTGGCATGTCTGCCTTTTGGAGTCAACGGAAGTACGAACAGTCAGAAAGGCAAGCTTCAGGGAGCAAGAGACACAGCTTCATGTGGCTGTAAACCACGAGGTGCAAGAAGAGGCTTAGCAAATTTAATGGCTGTATGACCAATTGCATCTGAAAGACTGCGAAAGGTAATAAATAGCTGCTCATTTATAAACACCATCACTGTAGTGTGGTAACACCAAGTTCTCTCATGATTTTTCTCAAACACATTTACATAGCCAAGCTTTCACTGATTATCTACCACTGCAATATTGCTTCAGCTTTTAGAGAATGGGATAACTGCATTTTCTCTCTCTTTTCAAAGAAAGAGCAGGTGGAGAAAAAGAATAACCATCTTGAGAAACCAAAGTAGTAAACCACTTCCTTCTTCTGTGTACAAACAAATAAAAAATGCAAATATATAACACTTTCGCAACAAATAGTAGTGTGAAGTAGTTGAGAATGAAAGACAAATCTCATGCTGAGTTTTAACTGAAGTGTGTCTCATTTCCTTTCTCATGTCTGAAGTTAATTCATTCCATTACCACCTGCTTCAAACAAGATGAAATTAAACGAAGATTAAAAAATACTGCCTTAAAGTTTAAAGGGGAAATCAATAGAAGGTGAAAAGTCAGCATAGAATAAGCTGCTTCTAAAGATGTGCTAGAATACAAAATAAATAAAAATAAACAACCTCACTCATATTCAAAGGTAAAAGATAAAGTATTATTAGGAAGAGGAAAAAAAAGTAAGCCAACAAAGCTGATGCTAGATCTATTTAGGATTAAAACAGACCTTTACGTTTGCAAAAAATACAAGCAGGCCACTTTTGACATCCCTGCCTCAAGAAATCTGTCATTATGATAAATTGCTTGTTATTTGGAGTTGCAAGACGATGGGTATCTTCAAAATGTCAGACAATCATCCTTCATGAAGGATTATGGCAACACTTTGCTGTAGGAGGCTAGAGAACGATGCACCACACAACTTCTAACCAAAAAAGTAAAGTTCCAGAGCAGCCATTGCCTCATTCCTCCCTAGCATGCCCCACAGTGGCTGGGAGTTAAACTTTAGAATGTAAGTATTTTAGAAATAAACACAGTAACTGTTAATTCTCACAAGGAAATAATATTTAATTATAGCATGAGAGAGACTCAATTACGTAAATGCTGGTATCCAACATGATTTTTGATGTCTTAGAGCATCCTGCCTGGCTTCAGATGTGCTGCTCAAGAAGGATGTAGGCTTCTCTCTAAGGTGCTACTCCCTATTTGCCAGCCTACTGCAGACAATACAGATCATTTGGAATGGTGCTAAAAGGCCCTGTTGAAGGAGCTGAATCTTCCCCATACTTCTGGTTGTATTTTAATCACAGATCTTAGTCCTGAATGTTCTTTAGGAGTACATGCATCATTTTGTGGCTAGGGCTTATCAGCTATAGGACTTCTAACTAGTTTTTACCCAGCCTGATGAGAATAGTCAAAAACCATGACCCAAAAAATTGTGTCAGCATCACTGTTCTGCTCTATTTTACTGCGAGTTACAAGTATCATCTGACTATTGATCAGAACAGTTAGCAACACCATGGCATCATTCTTGATTGCATTCTTTCAGATACACTTAGTTAACACATCTACTAATAAACATTTTTAATGAGGCAAAGATATGCAAAATACTCAACCATTTTGCTCCCCAACAGCAACAGAGTAAAAGCTTGAATTATAGGTAAATATTTTCATTTTTACAGCTTGCATTACTTCTTTCATGCCTTTAAAAATTTGAACTTTGCCAAGATGTTCACTTGTGAAGGACATCACACCAAAAGAAATAAAAAAGCATGAGGAAGTGTTACTGTGACTGCAGTTTAGGATGCCTACATCTCTTGTGTTCACTGAGTGCAACATGTCAAACAGCAAAATCTCAAAAAAACAGACCAGCCTTTTTCTTTTTCAAGGCTTATTTATGCTCCACTATTTGACTCAGGCAAAAAATATGCCAGACACTTTCTGGTTTAAAGTTAAACTGGCATTGAGAAGTATGTCTAGTAGACTTTTTCAGGCTCCTACTGATAGCTTGTATTAAAACAAAAGGCTTCTGTTTCCACAAACCTGGGTATGGAATTCTGATGAAACAGACGGTCCTATGGAACATCTGCTATTCCCAATGTCCTGTGAAGGTCTCCTAAAGCCAGGAGGTAATGCAGGACCTATAATGGGCCTTGAAGGAACAAAAAAAAAAAATTAATTTATCTTCAACTGGGAGACAGGAAAAACCCAAGAAGTAACATAAGCAACAGACAGTACTCTCAGTGACAGCCTTCCACTGTTTGCTGCAGGAAAACATGTAATAGATTAATATAAAAATTAAATGTAGATGAGAAATGCAATTCTCCTTCTTCCCCATGCCAAGTGTGCCCCTATGCGCACACCATAGAAATAAATGAGTAAGAAGAGTTTCTCCGTTCTCCAGGAGGACCTCTGCAAATAGCTGGGATGCAAGAAAAATGGGAAGGTTGCGGCATGTACTCAAGGAAATCCACATTTTTCTTCCTTCAGGAGACTCAAGAACCATGAAAGGTGGGAGGTCAAATACACACTACTCTTTCCCTAGTAACAAAGCCAATTTTGTTCATTCTTGTCTTGCACCAGTTTTGCTGCCCTTCAATAAACAGATTCAGTGAACTGCTCTGATTTTGAATTTATTTTCTCCTGGAGTGGGGATGAGAGAAGAAGTTTTGTGATCCCAAGTAACTTCACTGTTTTGGTTTTTTTTTGCCACAGCTCAGCAAGCAGGATAATCTGATTGTCTCCAGGAATACAGAAAGGTGAGAATCTCTTTTCAGTCATTAAAACAGTTCAAAGTATACTACAGACTGTGTCTCTAGCACTGAAAGACTTTTTTTATACAAGTTCCTCTTAATAATCCACCAAGATAATCTTTAAAGCTAATTAAACCCCCAAACAATTAACACCTGAAGAGATATCCAAGTGGCAGTATCCTCACAATGCATCAGCAGAGACTTTATTATGATCTTCAGTTTCTGAGCTTTAGGGCAATCAAGCATAACACAACATGAACTGAATTATGCTAATTGTGGTCTCCTACTAAATCCTGCATAATCTAATCAGTACAGCCCTGCTGTAAGTGATATTACTGTCAAGATTTGAAGAAGGGAAATAAAAAGCAGAAAGTCCTGTCAGAAAACAAATCACAGACAGATACAAGCAATAAACGTGAGCTCAGGCCAGGACAAGGGCACTGGTAACGTTTCAAACCTAGACGAGAGGTCTGGGTTAAATTTGAAGTTCCACCCCCACCTAGCTGCTGCAAAAAAGAAGCAGCTTTTACTTTCCTCCATTCCTTTCTGACTACTTTCTTGTTAGGGCCATATTTTAAAGTCCCATTATAATTTAAAGAGACTGAATTTAAACCTATGCAGATATGGCCAAAATAATCTTATTTTAGCATACAAGTATGAATGGAGAATGAGAGACAGTTAAACCAAACTATAAAAAAAGCTTTCTACTAAAATATATGAGAACATCAATGTTGTAGGCTGTATCTGGGCAACCTGTGAAAACGAGCAGATGTCAAATAATGTGCCTTGCTTCTGTTGCAGCCCAAAGGCTCTTCCAAAGAATGGAAAAACAGCTCCCATTGTCATCCCTCCCACACTTTCCATTTCTATGCTTTTGTTTTTCACATGAATAACACTGTTACTTGGGTCTTCCCTCAGCAACACATGGCCAACATGACTCTTGACAGTTTCCTGGATGTCCAAAGACTCTCTGAACAGGTGAAGTGAATGTAAATCAAACTCTGTTAAACACATTCTGCTGCTGTTGGCAACTTCTCTACCTATATATGTGTTTAAAAAAAATCACCCCAAAAAACCTTAGCATGAATTAAGCTCTAATTTAAGGAATACTGGATTTCATATACAGCAAAAAACTCTTCCCTGTTGTTGGACCTGGAGCTCTTGCTAAAGGGTGTTTCAAGATGGGCATTTCAGCATTCCTCTGATGTGTAACAACATTTTTTAAGATAACTTTTGTTCTTTACCGTGATGTGTGAATACTTTGGGAATACTTATGAGTGCCGCACTTCTGTCTAGCATTGCTAAACAGCAAAATCCTTTCCAAAGTCGAAGGAAAACCATTCATGTATATATTTTATGTTGGAATGATTCAAACAATTTTTAACAAGCTGCGAATTCCCACATGAGCTGCTCCTAAACATGAATATGTTGCTTTGGCAAGTCTGGAGAAGATGTAACAGAACAAAAGCTTTTCTAAAAGAATGAGTATGTCACACACAGCTAATAAACATTATGTCTACACATTAAAACAAACAGCTGGCATTTGCTTCAATTATTCATGGTTAAGCAGTGAGCTACCAAGTTGCTCAATGCTCGAGGCAATGCAGCAGGGAGATAGTTAACAGCACGGTGTCTACACCCTGCACAGCTTACATGCCTCAGTGTGTCAGACTCCCAGGTGTATGGGAGCGGAAGACAGACAGAGCTCTAACCACATCACACATTTCCCACCTACTCAGGCTGCAGAATGGCTTTGCTCAATCTGCCTTCTGTGTGTGCTAGGAGCAATTGTATGGTGAGCTACGACAAAAAACCCCTAGCAAGCGCCTTTTACTGCTTTAATCTTTCACATTCTAGACACAGAGCAGACTCCTGCCCTCTGAATGTAAATGCCCCCTGAATGTAAATGCAAGTTACCCAACATTTTGGAAATAAACTGCTAAGTGGAAGTAAAAGTTAGGTGAATATACAAAAAAATATTATATGATGGGTCACCACCTGCATTACTGCTCATCTCTCTAACCTCCAAACTACAAATTGCCTCTTTTCTTTTGCACACTGACATAAAATTTTACTACAGGAGTGGTCCTGTCAAAAATCAAGAAAACAAGAAGGCTACCACTGCTGCTATTAAAAGCTACAAGTATTTATTTGCTTTATTAGAGATCACATTTTAGTGATTTCCTAGATTTTATGATCAACAATTATGCATATGAAACAGAAGAAAGAAAAAATATTACCCTTGGGACCACCAAATGAGCCCACTGAGCGTGACAGCCACAATTAGAAGAGTTGGTCAGTTATAGCAAAGCGTAACCAGACAGATACAGAAAGGATACTTACACAGCTCAACAACAAATTGAGTCCCTTTCCTAGAAACTGATAACTCCTACCTGATAGGCAAGTACTGATGCATTTTATCTACCAGCTCTTTATTGCTCCGAGTAAGGTAACAGTGATCAAAGGACTTCCTTGTACCTTCCATCAGTAAGTGTCCCCTTGGAAGTGCCAATTTCACTATGGATTATCATTTCAAATTATAGAAGGAAGTGCACAGATCAATGTAAAGACTAGAATGATGTGAGACATGGTTAAGTTCTGCACAGAAAATCCATAAACAGTTGTTTGGTTTTTTTTGGGGGGGAGAGGGGAAAGTATTTTATAACTGCATGCAAACTAACAGAAAACTTTCTGATAGAGGCTATAAATAATGTTTATTTTCTTAGACCTGAGCTCTTGCTTTCTAGAAACCTACACAGTTCAGATTAGTTTTGTACCTGGAGACTCAAAAACAACCCCTGATGCATTAGCAAATGACAATTCCAATAACCTGCATTGCACTGCACCACACAAAAGTTAACTGCCCTACTCATTCAGCCCAGAATTAAACATGGAACTGAGTCCTTGCACCTGTACTTTGTTTTTTCTGCACTGATCTGAGACCTACCATAAGAAATAGATTTTGAATGTCAAATTTCCTCTGACAACTCATATTTTTAATTTTTCTCTCCACTCAGGACTAGGAGGGCAGTGTGTTCTATCTCAAAGGAACGCCATTCCCGTTCTCAGAATGTGGAGGAAGCAACTCTAATCATCTGAACCTGAAGTGCACAATTGGAAGTGTTCTGTAGTAGCGCAACAAAATATTTTACCTTAAATAACCATGTTTCAAGGAAAAGAGTCTGAAAATAATTCAACTTCAATTACCTCTCTGGAGAATCATCCTGTTTTTTAAATCCAGGAGGAAGAGCGGGCCCAAAAAAGCCATCATCATCATCATCATCTTCCTGATTTCTTTTTGGCTTTCTGCAAATAAAAGGATTTCACTTAATAATTACCTCGACATGCACAGCAATTATCAACATTTTAAAAAGGAAAAAAACCCCATAAAATTATTCCAAGCAGTCCTATGTACTAAATATCCTGCTGTTACCAAGGAAACAGTGCAAAAGGATCCAAAATAATTTGAAGCAATTAAAGAACTGGGAGCATAAGCTTCACTCCAAAAATGCTTTGGCATTTGAAAAAAACATTAAGAATGCTTTTGCTGTAGATGGAAGAGCAGTGTAATGTTGAAATACCATTTTCTAGTCACAAAATTTTAAATTCAACACCTTTTTCTGCATTTTTATATACTGTCTGCATTTTGACTAGTAATTTCCCCAGTTCAGTTCTAATTAACTGAAAAACCGTGGAGTAAAACAAGAAAAAAGTGAGTAATATTTACTCTTAAGATGGCATAACACCCTTCAAGTGCTTTATATAAGGCGTATCACAAACACATACAAGTTCTTAACACAGCAGCTGTAAGTACTCAACCCCACCAAATGTGAGTATATGCACACTCCTGTTATTTGCTAAACAACCCATGTTTTTTCATTAGAGTTGACTTCTGGACATAAATTCATGCCTATAAACAGTTCTTATGACCTTTCAGTGAGAAGTAGTATACCAGAAACAGGGTAAAACTCAAGTACCGACTACATACATTATAAGTGGTGTCTGACCTTAGTATAACCCAAGCAAAATACTAAGGATTTTATTACTTTAATGGCAGAATTAATGTAAAGACAGAGATCTGATTGCCCAAAATAACTTAATTCCACTGTAGGGTGTCAGACAGGTCAGCTGGACATTCTTGACCACAAAGAACGTGCAGAACATGTCATGAAGTTTCACACAGGTACAGGGTTTAAATTTTTGTTTATATAATACTGTCCCTGTCTCATAATTTATACAGAAATATTTCATTTGCAATACAGTGTCAATATACAAATAACCTAAGAATACACTCACTTGGGTGCTGGATCTCCTATCTCTTCTTCAGAATCTCTCTTTGTATCTCTGGGTAGAGGAATTGATTCCGAGTCATCATCGCTGTCAGGAGTTTCTGAGCTACAGCTGCTTTTATAGCCTGGAGGCAATGCTGGTCCTGCAACTGAATGTCCCAGTATTTGGGATACTTAGTACACGTTTCAAATAAGTACGATCTATTTTGGTATTCCCAAAACATCTACCTGGAATTAAGTTTATTCAATCATTGTTCTGTCTAGCATTTAGAGAAGACAAATAAACTTCTAGAAGTTACTTTTTTCAGCATCACATTTCAATGAACAACCCCCCCGAATTAAATTAGTAAATTACTAATCCATTACTACATGAGTGTCTTCTGGAACGAGATTAGAAAGCCATTTTATCTATCAACTGATTCACAATACATATGGCATGAACTGGTATATTTAAAAGAAACTATCACCTTAATAAAACATTTGAATATTACTGGTGAAGAATCACTCCATTTGTGCATACACAGCATGGGAGACCATAGATTAGTGAAATTTAATTGCCAGCCTGCTTTAGGAATGGTTTAGCAATTATGATTATTCCCAGTTCAGCAAAGCATGAACAGCAAGCACAGACTTAAGTACTCTGCTGAAAAAAGGGATGATTGAGGCATTCAGACTTCAAAGAATCACTACTGTCAGAAGGCTGGGGCAGTGGATGGAGCTCTTATCATCCAGTCAACCCTTTACACTCTGGAGTATGAGGGGGAATATCCCAGCAAAAAAAAGAATTAGATGCCGACACTGCTAACAGGCCTGAGCCACTTCTGGCACTGTCTCCACAAGAAGGCACACTCTTTACTTATTTGGATATAGTACCATGTACGCTGGGTCCAGAAGCAGCTTAGCTACTGATCCTAACACCAAATGCCCCCCAAATGAGACACTGTGTTAACACAGACACCCCCACAGGCTCAATCAAAACAGAGCCAGCTGGAGTAAGCAAAGACCACCAAAGGCCCCAAATAAGAGGCCTTCCCACACCCAGGGCCAGCAACAAGTTACACAAACAACACAAACAGACATCTGATATAACGGAGATTTAATCCTACTGAAGATTTAGCATCCAGAAACACAGACACTGTTCCTCCTTTTAATATTTCAAGCACCAAGTCCAAGACTGACAGGACAGAAAGAAGCTTTGGTGAGAAAAGACACGGTTAGCTTTATGATTTGTCAAGCGTTAGATGAAAAGATGAGGTGGAATAAAACTACACAAATGAAGGGTACCAGGAAATTACATCTTCAGATAAAGAACTATGACTTTTTGATGGTTCAAAATAAAACCTGATACAGACTGTGGTTCCATTGTTAGCTGACAAAGGCCAGGCAGAAATTGAGTCCTTTGAGTGAGCTTCATAAAGCTTTTATTGATCTTTACCACAAGACACAGAACAAGGTCAGTCTATTAGTTACAAAGCATCCAGACAGATCTACCACTTACTTTGTTTTCTGTTTTAATGGGAAAAACTTTAACCAGGATATACAAATCCATTTCAGCACTAAGAAAGAAAAAAAACCCGCAACACCCCAGCCTATAAAGGTAAAATAAGCTCAAGATGAGAGGGAACCAACAAATCAAGGATAAATAAGAATAAAGGCTGCTATTAAGAAGTCTCCCATCTTGGTATGAGAAACACCACCGGATAAAGAGCACTTAAAAACCAGACAAAGCCTGAACAATGGCTTTCTCCAGCTACCTGGTGCCCTGATATCATGAAAGCAGAGTTTTATTTGCTCTGAACACAGACAAGTAAGAGAAGGCCTCGGACTAAAAGGAGCAAACTGAGAGATGCAGTTTGAGGAGCCTGACACTGCAGAGGAAGAGAAAGATAGGGAGCAGCTTTGTGAACTGGAAAGAACTCATAAAACCAAAACTATTTAAGGAAGAAGACTGGTCCCACTGACGTGTTGGCTAACATCAGGGTTAACACACATGCTTCTTATCCCAATTCCTCTTCGTTTTGACGGCACAACCCTTTGCATGGGCTATGCAATAAACTGGCTCAGGGAACTCAAGAGGCATAAAAATAACACTGCAAAACCCAACACTCCCCTGAAAGAACTGTTTGTTCGTGCAACTACAGTCTAAGCAGGACTAACCAGAATCAAAGTAAGAGAACAGAGAATGGTTCACAAAGAGAAAATGGCATTTAAAGTCTGTGGAAGTAAAAGTCCTTGGACATGGTGAAAGAAGAGGTGGAGAAGGAGACTTACGAGAATGGGGATTAAAAATTACTATGGTCCTGGTACTGACTGAGACTCTTATTGATTGAGACTCTTAATCAGTACAGGTAAGGATACAGCAATGGATCAGGGGAGGGAGCCAAGAAAAGAGTAGAAAGGAAGGAATGGGAATTGCTATGCATAGGTTCTAGAGGCAAAGAAAGGAAAGGGTAAAGAGGGGGGCCAAGATCTAATGAGAAGTCTGTGAATGAAATTCCCTGGAAGACATGGAAAAGTGAAAAGATACAGACCAAAGGAGGAACAAAAAAGAGCTCAGGCCCACAGCTCACTACAACCTCCTTTCAGGTAGTTGTAGAGAGCCATGAGGTCCCCCGAGCCTTCTCTTCTCCAGACTAAACACCCCCAGGTCCCTCAGCCATTCTTCAGCACACTTGTGCTCCAGACCCTTCTTCACCAGCTCCACTGCCCTTCTGTGGACCCCCTCCAGCACCTCAATGCCTCTCTTGTAGTGAGGGGCCCAGAACTGGCACAGGATTTGAGGTGCAGCCTCACCAGTGCCAGTACAGGGGGATGATCACTGCCCTGGCCCTGCTGGCCACACTATTGCTGATACAGGCCAGGATGCCATTGGCCTTCTTGGCTGCCTGGGCACAAGCTGGCTCATGTTCAGCTGTCAATCAGCATCCCAGGTCCTTTTCCGCCGAGCAGCTTTGCAGCCACTCTTCCCCAAGCCTGTAGAATTGCATGGGGATGTTGTGGCCCAGCAACCCCAACCAGCATTTTGCCTTATTGAACCCCATGCCACTGGCCACCCATCAACCCAGCCTGTCCAGATCCCAGATCCAGAGCCTTCGTGCTCTCCAGCAGATCAACACTCCCCACCAAATTGGTGTCATCTGCAAATTTACTGAGGGTAGAACTCAATCCCCTCATCCAGATCATCAATGAAGATATTAAACACTGGCCCTAACACTGAGCCCTGAGGGACAACACTAGTGACCAATTGCCAACTAGATGTGATGCCATTTACCACCACTCTTTGGGCTCAGCCATCCAGCCAGTTTTTAACCCAGCGAAGAATCCACCTATCCAGGCCATGAGCAGCCAATTTGTCCAGGAGAACACTGTGGAGACACTGTCAAATGCTTTACTTAAGTCCAAATAGATAATGTCCACGGCCTTTCCCTCATCAACCAGGTGGGTCACCTTGTCGCATTTGGCATCCAAGAGGGCAAACTACATCCTGGGGTGCATCAAACACAGCACAACCACTGAGATGAGTTAGTGCAGCCTCACCTGGAGCACTGTGTGCAGCTCTGGGCCCCAGAATTTAAGAAGGATGTGCAGGTCCTTGAATGTGTCCAGAGGGTTGTACACCTGGACAAAACGTGGACACAGCAGGCTGAATAACCTAGACTAGATATTGCCAAAACACTTGGTATCACAAAACCACAGTCTAATGGTAAGTTTAACTTATGTTGTTCAGTGGATTCATACACAATGTAGATATCTGTATCTCATGTATGATGTATGAGAACGCTGGTGTAAGGAAACTAAGTCATCACCACATATATCATTAGGAAAAGCTGCATTATTTCAGACAGGCGTGTTAGTCAGGACTTGAGTAGAAAGCCAAGCTGCGGACCTGGAGCTTGATGTTGCTATGGGATTGCTAAGGCAGCACCTTGCTTTTCCTTCCTACTGCTCCCTCTTCTGGATTAAAAAATAAGAAGAGCAGATGAGCACACCAAACCTTTCCCATTGGAGCTGCACTGTTGGGAATAACTGAATGTTCACTGAAACACTGCCAGTAATTGAACATACATACACTAATGACTTGAGGATGGATTAAAGGCAGGGAGTACTAACGCTCAAACTGATACTTCCAGAGATATTACAGCATGTATGGGTTTACAGTGGGGGTATCCAAGCACCACTGCAGAAGAGCCAGCCTGGCAGTCAGCTGGCCCCGGAGGCATCCCGCTGCTGTCAACACCAGATACCCTAGGAGGTGCAGCACCACAGCCTCATTGCTCACAGGCCAGCTCCGCATCCTGAGGGAAACTGACCAGAACATAGCAGTTTCACAGGTTTTGGTCTGACACAGGAAAACAGGAGGCAAGACCTAATCACTGCCTTGTTTTATTTTTCTACCCACTAACTTCACACTCGGAGATACTAATGAACACGGGCATAAAAATGCAGGAAAATAATAAATCCATGCAGAATTAAAAAAAAAAAAAGTTTAGACCATTTCATGTCTGCAGTACCACACCATGTGAGTACCTTTTTATAGAATCACAGAATAGTTTGGGTTGGAAGAAACCTTAAAGCTCATCCAGTTCCACCCCTCTGCCATGGACAGGGACACCTTCCACTAGACCAGATTGCTCCAAGCTCCTTCCAACCTGGCCTTTAACACTGCCAGGATGGGGCAGCCACAGCTTCTCTGGGCAACCTGTGCCAGTGCCTCACCACCCTCTTAAAGAATAATTTCTTACTAACATGTAACCTAAATCTACCCTCTTCCAAATTAAAGCTATCCCCCCCTGTGCAGTTCACCACACGCCCTTATAAACAGCCCCTCTCCAGATTTCTTGTAGCGCCTTCCCGCACTGGAAGCTGCCCTAAGGTCTCCCGGAGCCTGCTCTGCGCCGGGCTGAACAGAACATTGCTTTCCCTTGAGGAAGGCACTCTAACACCTCCCCGTGAAGCTCAGCGCCCCCGCGGGCCGACCCCGCAGCACCCGCTCACCGCGGCCCCGCCGGTGCGCACCGACCCCTCCGCGTCCCGCCTCACCCCGGCTAAAGTCCTCATCCGGGTCCGGCTCTGCGCAGCGCGGGAAGCCGGGCGGCAGCTCGGGACCGATCAGCTCGCGAGCCATGGCGAGGCCTGCGCAGCGCGCATGCGCCACAAGGCCTCCACCTACTCTCCTCCGTCCAGCCCCGCCCCTCCGCCGCCACACTTCCGGCGCTGCGCTACTCGGGAAGACTTAGGGAGCGCGGCCGAGACCCGGAAGTGACGCGTTTTGTAGCGGCCGCTGGGGTGGCCCCACGTGGTGGCGGGAGCGCACCGCGGAGCAGGCCAGCGCCGGGCCCGACATGAACCCGTTCTCCTGGTTCCCGCCGCCGGGGTTCCCCCCGCCGCCCTTCTGCCCGCCGCCCCCCTGGGACCCCAGCCTCTGGGCTCCTCCGGGTGCCTTCCCCCCCCGCGGGCACTACCCTCCTCCCGACGGCTACTCGCAGCCGGCCGACAGCTGCCCACCTGCCGAGGGCTGCCCGCCAGGCGAACGCTACTCGCAGACAGAGAGCTACGTGCCTCCCGTCGCTTGGTACCCCCCGGCCTACGGAGAGCAACGGCAAGGCCCGTACGCTGGTGAGGGGCGTGCGGAAAATAGTCTCCTGGGCCCATGAACTCCTCACAGTCCCTCGCTGGTAGGGACCTCCCTGACCCATGGAGGGTGGAGGACTTCCCTTCTGACTGCGTGACCTGCTGTTCTTGCTGGTTGTGCAGCACTGGTTTGTCTCTCAGGCTCCTTCCACGCCACAGCAGGGGCTGTGATTTATTAGCTGCATGTATAACTGTTTTTTTTTTTCAACTTTTTTGGCAGGTGGAAACGGCAGTTTCTCCCAGAAATGGCAAGGCGAGCAAGGGGCTGGGTCAGGCAAACATCATCCAGAAGAAAAGAACAAACCAAAGGTAGGGACTGGATTCCCCAGCACGAGAAAGATAGGGACCTGTTGGAGTGGGGCCACAGAGAACCACTGAAACAGAAGGCTGCAGCATCTTTCCTATGGAGACAGGCTGAGAGGCCTGGAGTTATTCAGCCTGGAGAAGAGAGAGAGCCTGGAGAAGGCTTCCAGTATCTAATGGGGGAATACAAGAAAGGTGGAAAGGGGCTGTTTACAAGGGTATGGAGTGACAGAACAAAGGGGAATGACTTTAAACTGAGAGAGTGTATGTTTAGATTAGACATTATGAAAAAATTCTTCCCTGTGAGGGTGGTGAGACACTGGCACAGGTTGCCTAGCAAAGCTGTGGCTGCCCCATCCCTGGCAGTGCTCAAGGCCAGGCTGGATGGGGCTTGGAGCAGCTTGGTCTAGTGGGTGGTGTCCCAGCATTCGACACTGTCCCACATAACATCCTTGTCTCTAAATTGGAGAGACATCAATTAGATAGATGGACCACTCGGTGGATAAAGAACTGGCTGGATGGCCCCACACAAAGAGTTGTGGTCAATGGCTCAATGTCCGGCTGGAGACCAGTAACGAGTGGTGTTCTTCAGGGATTGGTGTTGGGACTGGTCTTGTTCAACATCTTTGTCGCTGACATGGACAGTGGGATTGCGCGCGCCCTCAGCAAGTTTGCCGATGACACCAAGTTGTGTGGTTCGGTTGATACCCTGGAGGGAAGGAATGCCATCCAGAGGGACCTTGACATGCTTGTGAGGTGGGCTGATGCCAACCTCATGAAGTTTAACCATGCCGAGTGCAAGGTCCTACACCTGGGTGGGAGCAATCCCAGGCACAGCTACAGGTTGGGCAGAGAAGAGATTCAGAGCAGCCCTGTGGAGAAGGACTTGGAGGTGTTGGTTGATGAGAAACTGAATATGCGCCGGCTTCAGTGTGACCTCACAGCCCAGAAAGCCAACCGTATCCTGGGCTGCATCAAAAGGAGCGTGACCAGCAGGTCGAAGGAGGTGATCCTGACCCTCTACTCTGCTCTTGTGAGACCTCACCTGGAGTATTGTGTGCAGTTCTGGTGTCCCCAACATAAAAAGGACATGGAACTGTTGGAACAAGTCCAGAGGAGGGCCACGAGGATGATCAGGGGACTGGAGCACCTCCCATACAAAGACAGGCTGAGAAAGTTGGAGCTGTTCAGCCTGGAGAAGAGAAGGCTGTGTGGAGACCTCATAGCAGCCTTTGAGTATCTGAAAGGGGGTCTTACAAGAGTGCTGGGAATGGACTACTCAGGAGGGACTGTAGTGATAGGACAAGGGGTAACAGGTTAAAACTTAAACAGGGGAAGTTTAGATTGGATATAAGTAAGTTATCTGCTGTGAGGGTGGTGAGGCACTGGAATGGGTTGCCCAAGGAAGTTGTGAATGCTCCATCCCTGGCTGTGTTCAAGACCAGGTTGGACAGAGCCTTGGGTGGCATGGTTTAGTGTGAGGTGTCCCTGCCCATGGCAGGGGCGTTGGAAGTAAATGATCTAAAGGTCCTTTCCAACCCTGACTCTTCTATGATTCTATGGTATGTTTGCAGAAATTACAGTTGATGGAAAGATGGTAGTGGAAAGAGCTGAGTGCAGGTTGCTTTGTTTGGAAGAGAAGTGATTTGAACTTCATTTTCGTCTTTGAAAATGTTGAAACATGTTTTATTGATGGCTTTATTAACAAAAATACTCATGGAAGTGTTTTGTCCCTAATTAAAGCCATGAATACCTTGTTGTCTTGTAACTGTATTCTTGACATGATCTCATAATTTTTTGATTTTGTTTTGTTTTGCAGAACAAAAAGAAAAAAGAACCCGTCTTCACTCATTATTGTGATACCTGTGACCGTGGCTATAAAAACCAGGAGAAGTACGATGAACATGTTTCACAGCATAAACAGGTTGATGAGTTCGGCTTATTTTATTTACACTTTGAGTTTCAACTCTGTCCCTGATAAGTAGTTAGCTGTAGTCACTCTTTGAATGAGTCTTTGCAAAGAGATTCCAGAGCTGCAAAAAATGTTAGAAGATTTTTTTCTGAATGTTGTGTGTAAGGGAGGTCTCAGTTGTATTTTTGGTTTTATTGCTGAAGTCATTTTAATGTCTGTCTTGTGGATCATTGCTGAATGGTAGGAATTAACTCATTGACATCAGTATAGCATAAAATTTTTTTGTGTGAAAAAACTTTGTGGAAAACATATTTTAAAATCCACTCCTTTACTGCAAAGAAGTATCAACATTTGAAATTGGAGTCTTGCAAATCCTTCTCTTAGGTTAACATTCTCTCCGTTTTTCAGATACATTGGCTTCACTGATTATTCTAAGATAGGATGAAATTTAAAGTGCGTTATCCCTTCTGACTGTTTTTACAAACACCTTTGTGTAGCTTAAAAGTTCTGTGTAGCTAAATGTACAGGCTTCCGGCACTGAGTTTTAAGTGCTCAAATGCTTGTTTATAATTTGATTGCATAACTCGGTGTGTCTCAAATTCGTCACCTTGTCTTGCAGTGCACAGAAGAAGGTTGCAATTTCAGTGCACACGAGAAGATAGTTCAGATACACTGGAAGAATGTAGGTATCCCCCTGGGTCCAGAATATGGATCTGTGCGATGTTTACTGTAGACCCTTTTGCTCTTCAGAGGCTTGCTTTCATCCTTCTGGAAGGCAAATGTATCACCTCTGACTAGAATCTGTTGCAAGACAATACTGTGGATGAGAATATGTTGAAAGCTATGACTTTGTTAAATGGGTTTATTATCACTGTGTCTCACCAATTTTGGAGATGTAAACAGTGCAATACTGCTATAGTTTGAGAGAATGATGCTTTTTTCCATGTATGTTTTTTTTCCTTCCCCTTTTAAACACCTATGAAATACTTTCTTCTTAGGCACATGCACCTGGTGCTAAAAGAATAAAATTGGATAGTCCAGAAGAGATTGCTAAATGGAGAGAAGAAAGAAAAAAGTGAGTAAGGCTTATGACCTATGAATTTGTTTTACTATATTTTCCCTGTATGATTGTTAGATGACAGCTAAAGGGCAGTAACAGCACATGCTGGCTGCTGCTGTTCCTTGGACTCTGCAAAACTCTTGTGATGGTGTTCTGTGTCAGAATGCCTGAGCCAGGAGGATGTGAGCTGTAGATACTATAATCATTTGGATGTTTATAACAGAAAGCAAGATACCAACATCTAGGAAGTAGATTTCCTAGATGTTTGATTTGGTACCCCAGGTAAGGTGAACAACTCATTCCTTTTAGCCTGATCTCTGAGACATTTTAGGTCAGAAATGTGTGTGTTTGCTTGGTGGATTTTCAATACCTAAGAAATCTGGAACTACTACACTGGCTGTGATTGCAGTACCTCCAGCTGTGTGAAAATTTCTGCAGCTTGTTGCAGGTGACTTGTTGTGCAAGTATACCCCAACAGGGAGTTTTCCTAATTTTTGAGATTTTTAGAATCATAGAATCATAGAATCGTTAGGGTTGGAAAGGACCCTAACGATCATCTAGTTCCAACGCCCCTGCCATGGGCAGGGACACCTCACACTAAACCATATCACCCAAGGCCTCGTCCAACCTGGTCTTGAACACTGCCAGGGATGGAGCATTCACAACCTCCTTGGGCAACCCATTCCAGTGCCTCACCACCCTAACAGGAAAGAATTTCTTTCTTGTATCCAACCTAAACTTCCCCTGTTTAAGTTTTAACCCGTTACCCCTTGTCCTGTCACTACAGTCTCTAATGAAGAGTCCCTCTCCAGCATCCCTATAGGCCCCCTTCAGATACTTTCCATATTGCTTATTTCTTTCCTACTTGAAAGAGAACAGCATCTGTGAATGATGCTGTTTTGGGTACTCTTAATTTGCATTGTACCTATGGTGTAAGGTAAAGTTACCATGTAGCCAGTATTTCTCATTATTTCTCATTCATGGTGGTATAGCTTTTTTCTGTTGACCAGTGTTGAAGTGTTAAAAAATCACACTGTACTTCCATAAGCCTTATACCACTGATTTTTTTCTTTTTTTTTTTTTTTTTAAATGAGTTGAACAGATTAAAATCTACCCTTTTCCAGCAGGCGAAAGATGCTGTAGGCTTTCCTTACTACTTTTCCTGACTTAAAATATAGTCTTGTAAGTGATCCATACAGAGGTTTTGGTTTTGTGTGTAGAAGTCCTATATACAGTGTGGGAAGTGATACAAACTCAGTTTCAAGGGTTTCTTTAAATGAAAATAAACCT